CCGCCGGGTGTGCTCGGGCGCTTTGTTTGTTTATCCGTCTTAATCCCGTGTAACGGCCCGGGGTGCGCGGGGCATCTCTTCGCGGCAAGGTGAGGGTGTCCCCCGGGCGCCTGCGGGCTGGACGTGGCAAAATCCGCTTCCCGGAGCCGTCGTTCCGCCGGTTCCCTCTCACCGCAGCGTGCCCTGGGGTGGTCATGCGGGAATCTGGTGCCGGAGGTAAAGGGAGGCCCTCCGGTAACTGGTGCCGGAGCTCGGGCGGCCTGTGGCTCCTGCGGCAGGTGGGAGTCCTATGCCAGCATCGCGTGGAGTTCGGCGAACTAAATGAGGAATTGGTTGTTCCCGGCAATGCAGAAGCTTTTCGTTTGGTATCAAGTGCGGTTGGGCCGGTTCTGCTGTTTCCCGTTTTCAATATGCTCCATTTTTGTATTGGCACCCCATGACTGCAACGTGGAAGATGCTGAAGGAAGAGAAAATGTCTTGGAATATGGAGAAATGTGAAAAAGCAGCTTTCAGTGCTGGAACAGCAGATGAGACGGTAGCTTGGTCCAGTGACCAGTAGCTGTGGAAGCGTGGGTCAGCGTGAACGGCTCTCTCTCGTTGGTCAAATGAAACGAGAGGGGTAGAGCCGCAGCTTTCATAGCTGCTATTGTGAGTAGCCGTGGGCAGCTGACAGAAGAATCACTTCTCTGGATGTTTTCTTCTTTTTTAGGTTGTCCACACAGCGTTGAGGTCTAGGCTATTTTGAATTAAACCTTGAAATACATGGTGCAAAACTCTGGAGTGAGTGCGACTACGGACGTATTTTGTGGCAGTATGTTAAGTGAGAATGCGGGACCTTCATTGCAGACGGGAAGCTCACTGCATCAGCAGTCTTTTCTTTTCCGCCCCCCTCCCTTCTGCCATCTGTCAGATAATAAATTAATCTTATGTTATAGATGGCGGGAGCTCACTTTTTTCACAATTTGTTTTCCCAGCCTATCTTCTGGGGTTTTTTTGCCATATTTTAAAAATTAAGTCTGCGTGTGTATTTTTTTCCTTCTGTATTTAAAACCTGCCAGAATATGAGATCAAATAAAAATGCTTGCAGCAGCACTGCATTGTAATCTACCAGTGTTTGCTCTCTTTCTCTGCCTCTTGCAGCATACAATTGTTCATAGACTGCCAGGTAATGCATGAAAGAGATGCTGTCCTGGCCAATCCCCATAGCGTTTTCAGATGGATGTAAAAACAGATGTGGGTACAAAGCTGATATCCTTATGGATCACTTGATTTATTTGGGAAAAGACAAGTTCTGATATATTTCCTGAACTTCAAACATGTTATTTAAGTCTGTATATAGACCGTGTTTGTGGTGTAAGCAAAAATGATCAGAGAAAAAAAAAAAAGGGATCGAAAGGCAAGTTTATGTAAAGAATGTAAAGAGAAGTAACTTACATTAATACTACATACAGAGCAAACTTTTATTTCTTCCTCCTGCTTCTTTGGAGAATGTTAAGCCATAGTAGGATGACATGATGATGGCATCTAAATTATGCCTAAGTCTTTTACTGTCTTACTAATGTAAAATTTAAAATTTTTGCTCTAAGTTCAGTAGTAGGTGTTAACACAGGATTCCACTGTAATGAAGTAATCAGTTGCATTTTGCATAAGAGGTGGAGAGTTTCTTGTTCAGGTTCTGGATTTCAGCAGGTCCCTGCAAGGATAGTTTTGGGTAGAGCCTGAGTCTCATCAAAAGCGTGTTACTGTTCTTGCTTATACCCAGTAGAATGTAAACCAAGGTCCTCCTGTAGTTTTTACAGTCAGGTATGGTTATGTGAAACATAATATCCCACAATGTAGTTACAGGGTAGCTCTGGATAAGAAAGTGTCGTTTATGAGGCAACGCTGCGTTGCTATTTAATGAAATCATCTTAATGCCTTAAGTTCCACTTAAATACCTGCTCAGTTTGCTGCTTTTCTGCATGCGTCTTTGTTCAGGAAAAAATAATTGACTCCATTTGCCATCTCTGAGTGAATATACGATAAAACCATTAATTCAGCACTGTTATGTGAATTCGTGCAATTCACCTTTATGTCAAGAGCTATGGCTATGATGTTGCTCAACAGAAAGCACAGATTATGGCATGCAAGACCATTGCCTAACATTCAACATCATTAAATAAAAAACTATACCACGCAGCAAAGTTGCTCAAGAAATGATGCCATGCAATAGCATTACACAATAAATCATACTGAAACACTACTACACAGCAAAATTACACAATAAAATGTGAAGAAATTTTATTCCCACTACTACTCCTACACAAAAACTTCTCATTCATATAAAACCAAATTTACTTATTCTCTCCAGTTCTCACTTCCAATTTTTATTGGACACCCAAGTCTGTCTTTAGCCCTGTTCTCAGTATTCAGATTGTCCTGCCAGCAGGTGTTTTCTAATGCTGCCCTGGACTCCTGTGATGAGACTTGTGTAGAACTGTGCCAGAACGTCCCACTGAGTCTTGTGCTGCTTTATTTTTATGCTGTAAAGATCTGGTCTTTTTCCTCCTCTGCTTTGTGCTATTTAAAAAGCAACAGACATTTCCTGAGACCAAAAAGAACCCCCAGAGACTGCATATATGATGAGCCTAACTGTATTCTTTTTTTAAATGATGTCACAAATTTTTTTAGCATTAAGCTTGCTATCTAAAGCTGGTTTGTTTGTAGTTTTGGTTTTTTAAATCTTGTGTTTGGGAATAATAACTGATTCTGTGACTTCCCCATATATATTATCAAATACATTTTCAGCCTTAGCTTAATGCTTTTGCTTGTTAATTTGTTGAAAAACTTTTTTCTTTTCCTTCCTAGACTATCTTTTTAGATCCCTTTCATGAAAGCCTAAAATCCATTGTAACCATATATTCAGTTGAAAAGGCTGAAGGAGGTCATGTAGGAAGCCATAAACTTCAAGGAGAGATAGAAGGGATAAAAACATGGTCTTAGCAGTCATCAGGAGAAAAAAAAAAAAAGGTGGTCGGTGGATCAGTTGCTATCAGGAAAATTGATCTAGGAATTCCATGCCACTATTTCTGTAAGGGCATGGGACTGGTTACATGTAACAGGTAGGGCAGGGCTTCCTCCTTCGTCTCTGCTCAGGTAGCTGGTTGGGGTTAGATCTGCCAGGAAGGATTAAGGGTATGATTAGATGACTGAGCAAGTGACTTAAAGGGAGGTTCCAGGCTGAGTCCAGGGGAACTATTAAGATGAGTAACTCAGGACACAATCCAGGAAAGAAGAATGTGGAAATCCCAAAATATAGGAGAGAGACCATTGGCAGTTGGGAAGGGGGAGTAGGAGACTGTGGCTCGAAAAGGAGATTTGTGAAACCCTGTATCAAAAAGGCTTATTTTAGCAAAACTAGTTGATTTGAATGTATTGAGCTGAAGAACAGAAGGCTTTAACAAGTTTGGGTGAGAATGACTGTTCTTGGAGCTCAAAGTTAAAAAGAGGCAGGGCCATCCCAGGCCACATGAGATTGCTTTGGAACAGCAACTATTTACAGCTGTTGCAGTTAATAAGATTACAGACTTCTTCCATCAGGAGGAAAGGAGAGAGGAGAAAGATGCACACTTTCACTTCAGTGGTAGGATAGTCTTCTAAGTAGCACCTTGTTCAGGAGCAATATCAGTCGTTGTTTTTGTCGGTTGGGTTAGAAGTGTAAGGCAATGAGGATGGGAAACATGGTAAACTTACTGCTGCTTGCCCTAAAAGTGAACCAGTGGAGCAGCTTCCATGGGAATTGAAATTGCTATAAAAGCTTTTTCCAGGAAGATCTTGGGACTAAGTAAAGAATGCTCAGGAAGTTTAGGTTAAGTTTCTTTTTCAGGGAACAGAACTGGAAGAAAACACATTTTTTAGTCTTCTTCCTTTGGTCTTTTCCCCATGCAGAAACCAAGTGTGGCCAAAGGATCCTGGATGTTTATACTTGAGAAAAGTAGGGTGGTTAGCAGGAACAGTCTGAGTGCAAGTAGTACCTTGTCGTACTTGAGTATTTGTGCCAGAGCTGAAGGCAAGTAGAATCCTGATGAAAGTTCTTCAGAGGGTGACAATGGAGAGAGAGAACGAAGAGCAAGATGAAGGTTCTTGAAGCCTGTTTTACAGAAACAAAGCCAAATGTGTTCCTAAGCTTTCGAAGCACTGGCTGAGCATCAGACTTGCTGATTTGGCACAATACTTGTCTTGAAGATACAATTTTCTTCTCAAGGGAACAGTGTTTTCCCTTTGTGACCATGACTGGGTAAAACACAAGGATTAGACAGGGAGAAACACACCGTAAACTGGAGAAGCTAGTATAATTGGGTTTGGCTGTCTTGTGGCAGAAACACAAAGAAAAACCTGTGGCAGAAGCAGCTCTTAGAGAAATTGATTATAGAAGTAAAGAACGTTGAAGGCTGGATTATGTGAGTCTGCTGTCAGCCAAACTGAGCAATAGGAGCATCCCAGTTTGCTTGATTAATTTCATTAAGCATCCCATTTAACTGCCTGTCAGTGGAGGGAGGGACTTTATTAGTGAAGAAGAAACAGCTCTTGGTATTGAAGACAATTTGCTGGGTGTTTGAGGGGAAATTCCACCCATGTTTCATCACCAGGAGATTTTATCAGATTGTGGAACTCAAAAGACAGATGATCAGAACAAAACAGATACCAAGCACCTCTGGAGACAGAAACACCATTCAGAAAAGCACATTACTGAAGTGGAAATGTCTGCTTAGAGATTTTGGGTCACCAAGCTTCAAGAACTGGAGCCTGAGGGAGTAGCCTGAAGGAAAGCTAACACTATGGATGAGGAGCTGTGTTGTGAGTGGAAGACTTCCCTTTCCTAAAATGAAGGAGGAGGAGTTGTAAGTGATCAACTGCAACACTCAGCTCCAGCAAAGAGAAGAAATGGAAGAATGCCTTCAAAGAGCACCAGCAAGAATGTGATACCAACTTCTCTTTGAACACTTATCAGCATATTCCAGAAGCAAAAGGAAATGTTGGGACAAAATGGCAAGAACATAACTCAATTTCTTAAAATTCCTTTTAAGGCTGTGTGGATAGCATGTCTTGAAATCTTTGGAGGAAATAAGATGTAATGAATCCTCTTAAAGCACGTTCCATGGAAAAAGGTTAGGAAACTGCTTTGTATAGAATTTAGCCAAGCTGATTGCATGAACTTAGTACCTACTGCAGAATGCCAATGACTAGATGTTTAAAATTGCAGCACACTGTAAGTTACTGTTGTGGAGTTCTCGGCAGATCGTGTTTCTCAGCTAAGGCTGTGTGCCATTAGTGAGGTGCGAATAGGCCCTGGAGCCACATGCTGCAGTGAGAGGTGAAGAACTCT